ATTGTGCAAACGTGTCTTTTGTTTTTCCAAAGGAAACATAATGAGGTAGAGGCCAAATAGAAAAATGCTGGTGCAGTGCCTTATAGCTTTCTTTAACATTTCTGACAGGGAGAAATCATCCTGGGAGGAAGAATTCTTTGATTTTATCTTGTCTTCACCGTATTATGAGCCTCTGCCATGTACGGAGGTAATATGGAGCCCATGAGCTGGCCGCGTAATTATTGTGTACTTGAATTGAAATGTCTTAGTTGCAGCTTTTATTATGCACAGAAAATATTTTAAGCCAGAGATTAAACTCTTTACTCCAAATTAAACACTAAAGAAAGAAGCTGATAAAGCATTTGCATTTAAGGTGCTTGTACTACAAAAAAAAAAGTTTGTTTGATGAAATTAGTTTAGGAAGAACTTGCTCAAATTTGCCTGAATGCTTTTTTGTTCTTCTTAATTATGAAATTGTATTTAAAGCATTCAGCAGATATTTTTGAAGAGCTTAGTGCTTCTTGATACTATTTAATTGATTGTATTCCCCTTTGGTGTTCTTTTAGTCTTAACTTTCTTGAGAAAAGTTTAAAGGTATTGTACTGTCAAGGTTTAACCATTTTTTTTAAGCTCCAAAAAATATATAATGAGATAGAAAAGTCAACTCTCAATTCCTCTGGTTATTAAGGGTGTTTTTCTTTCCCTCCCCTCTCTCTTTTTCCCTCTGCCCAGGAGCTGGAGGTTGGTCTCCTCTGAGTTCAGACAGATATCAGTGGTTGGAAGTCGACCTGGGTGGGCGGACACGAATCACTGCTGTTGCAACACAAGGCCGCTATGGCAGTTCTGACTGGCAGACAGCCTACCTGCTGATGTTCAGCGACACAGGGCACAACTGGAAACAGTATCGACAGGAAGACAGTATAGGGGTGAGTTTGTTGTAATAGCTCAGAGTCATCAGAGTTGGAGGAAAGTGAGCCTGAAGCGTGACTAAAGAAAACAAAATTTTCTGAAAAAATCAAGGAAAGGTGGAAATGTATTAAGGTTTCCATCATCTACAATTATGTGAACATTTTGAGCTGTGGAAATAGAAAACAAAGCTAAGTCTTCAGGTGTTTGCTATTAATTTACAGCAGAGGGAGAGCAACAAGAGAGATTTAAAAGGTGGAAGTCAAACCTCTAGTCTTAAACAATAAAAAATCAGGATGGTGTTTCATTTATTTAGTGTATTGGTTAAGTCAGGTTTTTTCTAATGCTAATCAAGAGAAGTTGTTTCATCCATCCACTGATTATATGACGTGAGAACAGCAGGCTAAGCAGGTCATTCCAGACATCCTGCTTTCTAGGAATGCTTTCCAGTTCCTCCTGAGGGATCCCAAGGTATTCCTCAGCCAGATATATAATCTCTAGAGCAGGTTCTGGGTCTACCTCAGGGTCTGATGGAGTCCTAGGTAAATATCCACAGAAAGACCCTCAAACTACTATAGTGTTCATGACCATTATGTTGTTATTATTTACTGGTTATGAAGTGTTAATACTGTAACTATGAGCTTTATGATCTTTCGCCCTGCTAGCTATACTAACAAGTTGACTGCTAGTGTCACAACTCTAACTCCACATGTTCAACTCAGCAGTGAATCCGAATGCAGGACGCAGGGCGCAGGATCTATTGATTAATATTTGATTATTATTGGCTCCACTCACCACAGTCTTACTTTTTTCCCCCTCTTCCTCTTTTTCTGTCAGTCACAGAAGGATAACTCCTCTTTGTTGTCATTACATTTGCTTAAACAGAATCATGTACACAACTTCGACAGCAGTGAGTGTAGTCAGATGGAGCCCCTTGAGGGAGGTCAAGTCTCTTGTACACGGCCACTGTTGTAGTTTAAAGTTTGTCAGCCCTTGGGGGTCTCCCCACTGACCTGAGTCCCTAACACTATCTAGTTTTAACTAGTGGCAAATGGCGCCTCTGGGCACATATGAGACACCCTAATTAAATGCCTGAACCATCTCAGCTGGCTTCTTTTGACCTCTGACTTATCTGCACTGGAGATGTTGCCCTGAAGCGGGACAAAAATAGCATCAATTTGCTGCCCTGTGGGTTAACCACACGCCAAGGCAGGCACTAAGGT